TAAAAAAAAGTTATTTGTTTGGGCAAAATTTTACCGGGCAAATTGAGTGAAAATTCTTGAATCCATGTTTGGTTGAAGATAAAATATTGATAGAAAACCAAGATTAAATTACAAAATGGACCCTTTACAATATTATATTCTATACGATATAATGATGCTCAATTCAGAAGTGGGTCCGCAAGGTTTGGTGCACACATTTATTACCCGATGAGATAAACATTAGACAAGAGATCATACAGGGTATCAACTAAACATGATATACCACATCTTCTAAAATGGTGGAGATGGGTCACTTGTTCGATGTGGTTCGTTTGGTTTCGGAAGCTTGGAATAAAAAATATATATATGAAAAGGGGAAGGGGTTGTGGGTGGCAGCAGGAGGGACGGTGATGAAGATGGCTGAATGATTGTGGGCTGCGGTTGGAGAATGGGTCGGGGAAGGAGATGTGGTGTGAGAGAGGTGGGTGGCGATGAAGGGGGAAGGGGCTGTAGGTGGCAAGAGGAGGGACGGTGGTGGAGATGGCTGAACGGTTGTGGGCTGCGGTTGGAGAATGGATCAGGGAATGAGATGTGGTGGATGTGAGAGAGGTGGGTGGCAGTGAGGGGTCTTCGATCAAGAAGGGGTTGTGGTGTGGTGGTCCTTACCGCCAAAGTTGAGGGTATTTTAGTCTGCTTTGACTTGCCCTTCTTGCCATTTAGCCGGCTAACCACAAAACACCATTTTCAAGTTGTCTTTCTGAATAGTGACTTTTGCTTGCTTTCTACGACCAAATCTCAATTGCTATGCAAATAGAATAGCTGGGGAAATTTTTCAAAACTGTCTACCAAACATGGACGTCTTACTTTTCCAATTTGATTTGCATAGGTATTATAACACCTCGCATTTCTAAAGTTGAAATATTAATATATTAAATGAGAATTAAAGAGAAGGATTAGAGAAAATCCTGAAAATTAGGCCAAAATACAAAGAAAAGACAAAACGGTAATTAGCCAACACGCAACCCTAGGAAGATAAAAAGTTGAGTAGAAGGTCTCAGATGGTAAAAATAACCCTGGAAATGGATTCAGAACGAAAAATTGAGTGGTTAGGCAAGTTTCAGAAAAATCAGTGAATAGTATTTTTACTGGGTAAAATACCGCGGTACGATTGCACCGTAAAACGTGCCGATTGAGTTTTGAGCTCTAGGTTTGAAAATAAGTTAGTTTGGGGAAGCGTGCCAACGGCGCGCGCAACAGCTTAAAACAACATTTTCCCCGAACGACCGGAAAACTCAGGATTCATCTGATCAAGTATCATTAAAGGAGAATGGTTAATGTTAAAAATTAGAGTTTCTAAATAGGTTTTGAATTTGTGGACGTTTAATGGAATCAGAGGGAAATTCGGGTTAGTTTTAGATCGCGTGAGGTGGCGGTGGGACCCACCCCACTCAAATCCACTTAAGCCACATCATCCCCTCACTATTCATCATCATCTTCTCTCCACTTTCCCCTTTCAAACCCGTGCCAACAGCCCCTCCACCACCATCTTTGTGCAAAATTTTCAATTCACCATAACTTGGTCATTTCTCCACTGAATCCATCGATTTTTGTCTTGAAACTTGATGAAAAACACCTCCTAAAGCCATTGGTAGTACTCTTTGGCCTTGAAACCGTCTCCTTGGTGAGATCCAAGCCAAAATCAGTTGCGAATTTGTTGAGAAAAGTTGATGTTCATGGAGTCATTTGGCCTTCCATTGCTTGGATAAGTCTTAGAGGAGTATCAAGCCTTGATTGTGAGTATGTTTCTACACCATTTCCATGGTTTATTTGTGGATCACATTTATAAACCCTAAACCTTGAATTGTTGATGTGTCATGTTAGAGAGCTCAAATGGAAAATGTGTATTAGATGATAATGTCTTAGAATGGGGTGTTAGAGTTAGAAATGCCATGAAAATTTTAGGTGAAAAATATGATTTTGTAACTCAGAATATTCTGAGGTGTCATGACTTGAATTTTGAAAATGCGTTAGGATTTTATTGGTGAGTAGTTGGATGATTATATGTTGATATAATGGTATTGTGTGAAGTGTGGAAGGGTTGAAAATTGAATGAAATCCCTTGGAATTACATAGGTAACAATTCGGCCATTTAGGAAAGTTTGGGGAATTGAAGTTGTTTACACTGCTTGGATGATGTTTCAATTGTTAAGTGGTATTTAAATGTGTTGTGTGGTGGTTGGAAAATGGAAGAATCAATGAAAAATAATAAATGGTGTTAAGGGTCATAAAGGATCCTAGAGTGAATTATTAAGCAAAACGATGCTTAAAAGGCGTAAAATGGAAAAACGACACTTGATTTAGCCTTTTGGCAACCTAAAAATGTATAATAAAATGAGAAAGAAAATCTAGAAAAATAAATTTTGAATTAATCCTAAGAAGGTCGAACCTACAAGGTGTAGGAGTGGAAATTTGACGTTTTTCGCGTTTTGATAGAATTGTCGTGTACTGACGATTCGTACATGGATATTGTAGGTTGTCGTACTTCGATTTGAACCCCGAACCGTGAGTCGGTGGATTGCCCTTGGTCTTGGACCAAGTGGGATTGAGGTAAGTGGTTGAATCATGCTTGTATAGTTATAAATTGCATGTATTCGTATGAGTTTTAAGTAATTAAGAATGTCCTCTGTGTAGGCATTCTATTGAGTAACAAGTTTGGAAAATAAGCTGCTGTGGAGCTAAGTGGAGGAACATATTGAGGTAACCTCTTGGTATTGGGGCTTGTTCCCCTTGTGTGTTCCACCATACCCGTTGAGGGTGATGGTAAGAAATGTATATGAGTAGTGTAGAATAACATGAGCATGCATGTAGTAATTATGAGGGTACTTATGTACCGAGGCTCTGGCCAGTAGATAGTTTTTTCCTTCGGGCGTTTCGGACTTCCACTGGATAGGTCTCCGAGAGGGAGTTCCAGTTGACCCAGGGTCGTGGTGTGTGATCCGGATAGGAGCACACTAGGAAGTCTCGGGTGTATGCGGATGGGAGGGGTACCTTGGTTGATGTTCTAGGAACACGCCTTGGATGAGACCCATAGGCTTATATGACGAGGTCGTTGCGTGGTATTGGTAGCTACCATTCCCGCTTCGTCGTATTTTGTATTCCTATATTCCCCAGTTTCTCTAAATCCCTTGCTTTATCCTGTTTTGAAAAGTGGTTATTTCATATTATTTATATGCATCGAAGTGAGCCATTAGGCGGAGTTTTCTCCAGAACCTCTGGGTTACTGAGATATATTCGTATATCTCACCCCGTCTTGGGGGCTTTATTTCAGGAGGTAGCAGTGGTACGGGAGCGGCGGGCAAGAAGCCCGTAGGATGAGTCATTGGAGGACTTTCATTTTTTTGTATTTTGATGGCCATTTGGCCTAGGCTAGACTTAGGGCATGAACATCTCATATGTATGTAGGATGAGTTTCGTAGTCATATTTGTTCATGTCATTTTGCCTAAGTCTAGTTAGTTGTATATGTCATTTGAAGTTTATGTTTCAAGTTGTAATTTAAAGTTTGAAGTTGTAAGTTGTAATATGTAAGTTAAATGTTGTAATTGTACAATTGATAAATGATGTACTATGATGGAAGGGCTTTAGGCCTATTTTAGGTTTATGATTCATTGTATGTTGAGAATTTGCATGTAAATGGACTTTGGTGATTGAAACAAGTTAAGGAATTATAAAGTGAGCCTATGGTATGAACTGTGTAATAAATATAAACTGAGTTGGGTTGTAAGTGCCCAAGGCATTGTTGGTCCTTCTGTGTTCCACCCATTGGTTATTAGGTACATTTGAGGTACTAGAGAGCATTTGCAAATTTGGGAATTTTAGGAAAAACAAAAGAAACTTTGGCGAATTTTCTGTAGAATTGGTAGAATTTAGGCAAACTTCGAGAGAGCATATCTCCCTCCACAGAGGTCCGATAGGGACGTTCCATATGCCATTTTAAAGCTTGAGATGTCCCCTACATTACGTTAAAGTATGAGGAAATTCTGGGTTGCACGCAGCCCGGTAGAAGCCTATGAAAATGGATTGTCTAGAATGCACCTGTGCAGGGGTTGTTTCTGGCAGTTTTTGGAAATTTTATTCCCGCTTCTTTTCTTGGCCAAATTAAGTGTATGATATGTCAAATTGAAGCTTGAGGTGTCTAGTTTATGGTATAAAAATTTAAGAGCATTTGAGTGAGTGGTTTTTCTGCAGTAATTCATGGAGTGAAGGATGTTTAGAGCTGTTTTGGGGTTGGATGACAATTTTGCTTGTCCAACTTTAAACGGCGATATCCGGAGCAAACGAGATCGAAATGACTCGTGTGATGATGACTCATTAGAAAGGTAATTAAGTAAGAAAAAAAGATAGCTAAAGATGAAGGTCTGGTCTTGTATGGTGTGTCCACAGAAAAATAATAACCGAACCATGCTCGGGAGGGTAGAAAACGTAAAAGGTAGAAAACGTAAATGACTTGTAATAAGTAAAATAAGTTACAAATGTAGTTTAATTAAGTATTCCGAAAATAATTTATAGTTACGGTCATAACTTTTAATTATTACGCTTTTTATTGTTTTAAATGCTCGCATAATAACAGAAAAAGTTTACTCGCATTTTTTATAAATGAATTGATGTGATTGTAACTGCGCTTAATATCATAATTAATGTTAACATATCGGTGTACAACGGAATGTTACAAATAACTATTTAAAAATTATGAACCAAACATCGTCTAGTAGAATCTTAACAAATCAATCTTTATAAATGGATTGACCGGGTTTGAACTTGGAAACTTGGGTTCATCCGAAACGTTTACCCCTAGAGAATAATGAACAAAAGGGTAGGGTTGTTATTATCCACTATGCACAGTAATGGGTTGAGATTTTGCATATAGGCCCCACCCCATGGACCCACCATCCACGTGGCAATAATATGTTTAACCTCTTGACAGTGTGAATGAAAGAAAGATGATCAAACTTAAAAGAACCAGCCGACGAGAGAGAGAGAGAGAGAGAGAGACTCCCTTCTTTGTTTTTCTGGGGACATGGATTTTCCGTTGAGAGAAAGGAAGGAAAATCTATTAAAGTTTGAAACTTTTCACCTCAGAACCCTTCTTTTCTGCCTTATAAATAAATGGGTGTGACCAAAAGTTTCATTGGAAACATTTTCTTTCTCTCTCTCTCTTTCTCTCTCTCTCTGTTAACTACTCCCTTTTCCCGTGTCTCTCCTCTGTTCTTTTCTGTCCTTCTTCATTCACTCTGTTTGTTTCCTAGGAAAAGAAAAACTTCAATTGGGTTTCTTTGATTCTTTATCTTCATCTCATTTTAAGGTTGTTCTTAGGCGGTGGTTGGTGTTTCTTTGTGGGACTGTCTTCACATAAAAAATCTCACTTTGTTTGAAGGGTTGAAGCAGAGTTTTTGATACAGAGGTTTAAGAGTGGTAGGAGAGAAATGGAAGGAAGAAAACAAGTTGGTTCTTCTTCTTCTTTCACTTCTGAGCTTTTTGGATCCAATGAGTCCCACCCATCATCTGCTTCTGGAGTTTTTGAATCTATATTTTCTCCATCGTCTAAGGTGTGATGTTTTCTTTTCTGCAGCTTGTTTTTCATGCGTTTGTTTGGTTTGATTTTGGGAAGTTCAATTCATTCTCTTTGTATTTCTCTGCTTTTCTTGGTTGATATGAAGATTTCTGCTATATATTATATTGGTTATGTTCTTCTCTGTGATATTTTCTGCGCTGTCTTTTAGCAAGTTGGAATTCAATTTCAGCCTTTCGGGTTTTCAGAGAGTCTAATTGAAGAACAGAACAAACAATGAGCATCTTGATCATATTGCAATTTCATTATCGTTATTATCTTTGCATATGGACTCATGTTGAAACAGCTCTGAGGTTTTTCTGGATTATGATGATTCAGGTGTTTGGGAGAGAGTCTCTGCGCTCTGAAGTGATTGGGAAAACAGCCAGGGAGGGATGGAACACCAAAATCAGTACTCCAGGTTGGCATACTCTGTTTTAATCTCTGTACTTACAAGTTTTGGTTAGTGTCATTTTATTTTAGGTAATGTTTACAAGAGAAAGGATATAGTTGCGACCTATTTTTATTATAACCTTTTACGATTACATTTTAATTGTTCATTTTTTGAACTAATAATTAATTAATAAATGTGACTCAATAAATTATAATCATTAGAGTGACAGAAATCAACGGTTAAGATGTGTTATAATAAGTTGTAAACGAAAATATGTTATAAGTATAATCTTCCTTTACAATCATATCTTAACTGTTGATTTTCGTTAATCTGATGGTTATAATTTATTGAAAATTAATAATTAATTAATTAATAAATGTGACTCAATAAATTATAATTTGTAGATTGATGAAAATCAACGGTTAATATGCGTTTGTAATAGATTATGAACGAAAATAGGTTGCAAATATAATCTTGCTCGGTTTATAAAAATGTGATATAATATTAGCAAAATCACATAGTAGCACGATTCCTACTGGCTTTATTTTCCTTTATTATGTCTCCATCATTTGCATCCTTAAAGTGTCCTTGATTAAATTCGCCAACTTACTATACTCTTGAGTCCTGACGGCTAGTTATTACTACATATTAAAACTTCTTATTAATATTGATAATTTGTTTCAAGTAAAACTTAGCTTGTTAAGATTATATATGAATGGAATGAAATGTAATGGATATCTTTCTGTTTAAAATTCTATTTCTGAATAACTTTAGATTAATTTGTGGAGAAAAAAATAATCTATCTTTTCAATTTTTCTTTTATGCCGTGTCTCCCTTCCTTATCCTTGCTGTCAATACAGATTACATCAGTAAGGTCAGTGATGGTGAAACTCAAAGCACAGAAAATAAGGACATGAGTTCTATTTATCAGGAGCAAAGAGTTCAACCATGTCACCTTAGCTCATCAATCTATTATGGTGGCCAGGACATATATTCTCATCCTCAGAGTACACAGGATTCGGGACTAAACTCTTTGGTGATTGCATTTATTATTATTCGTTGTTATAATATATTTTAAGAGCATAACCAAAACACCAGGGTAGATGTGTCATGTGTGTGTTTATAAACATCATTCAGGGTGCTGGTTTATACTTTATACTATAATCCTTGCTAACTCAAATAAAATGTAAATATTTTTTAATGGAAATATGAGTTACTAGATAGAATTCTGCAGAGATCAAATCAAGAATTAGTCATTATTTGGGTTTGTTGTACTTTATTTGTTTGATACTTATTTCTACTGTTAGGAATTCCTAACATGATTTTTCATTCATCAGTACAAGAAAGATGGGGGAGAAGATGATTCAGGAAGTGCTTCTAGAGGAAACTGGTGGCAAGGTAAGACATATATCTGTGTAATAGATTTTCTGTGTAAATTTTGCAATTGGCTTCTACCGTTCTGTCATAAATTTCTCATTCATTTTCTGTCGTGTAAATGTCTATCCACAGGATCTCTATATTATTAAGATCACACTTGCCAAGAGTATGCTCCTCAAGGTATTATTTTCTGATAGCCATATCCAATGGTAGACATAGTTTATTTGAAAACTAAGAAGTCGTAGAAAATAAACGAGAGGATTGTAAAGGGTTTGAAATCAACTAGGCTGAATCAGTAAATGGAAGAACTAACATGGAACTTACCCCAGCCTACTCAACTACATCTAACCATGCTTCTAGCCTGCTATTACGGGCCTGTTTGATTTTGTTCTTTCTTTTGTTCTTAATACTGTTTTGTAGAATAGTTTATAAAATAGGTGTTTTACGTGTTTTTTTTTTTTTTTTTTCATTTTGAAAATTAAAAGTTATAATAGAAAAGAAAAACAACTCAGACATATTCTTTAAATTTGATTATAAAAATAAAAAAATAGGTATAATTTTTAGAACTAATTTTACAAAACAGACCTTATTAAACGTGTTTTTTTTTTTGTTCTGAACGAAAAACTGTTTTTGAAAACAGAATTCAAATAGGCCAATTTTAATTTTTTTTTATTTTTTTTTCCTTTCCGGTTTTATCTTTTGATTTTATTATTTGTTTTTCATCAGTTGCATGCGTATTTGCAGGTAAATAGGAGGATAGTTTAGCACTGCAGTTCATCTTTTGTTACATGGAAGTGTTATACTCTAGTGAGAACGTTGTGGATGGCTAGTTGCTTTCTCCAGCCAAACAACAGAATCACAATATGAAGCTGTATTCATACGCATTTCTTTCTATTTTCAAAGAATATCGTACTCAGCGATCGTAATGTAAAAGTTGCATGTTATAGGAACTACGTGAATGATCAGCTCTTCTCTTATGTGGCTGAAGCTTTGAAGTTTTTAGTTTCATTGTAGAAACTCTCTTTTACTGGTTTCCCCCCTCTACTTTGTATTTCAGATGTGATGGTTTGATGAATATGGATTTATCATTAGCCTTCTCTTATGTGGCTGAACTGAAATAATTTACTTTATGATTGAAATCCCCTCTACTGCTTATATAATTACATGGGAGCTTAGCATGGTGTTAGATGCGAGAGGATGCAAATATTCGGCTCTGGCCAAACACCTGACATGTCTATTTAAATACTACATCTTAACCCAAAATATTAAATCAATGAATTTATGAGTCTTTTTACTTATACGGTTCTCGCTTGTTCATTTTTACTCATTATAAAATTCACTCACATTTGAATTTTGATTTATGGTCCTCGCTAGTAGCATCTTTTGGTCACACTTAGGGGCCGTTTGGTACACGGATTTTTTCCGGATTTCTAAGAAACTGAAATTTTAAAAATTTTAAATTTTCAGATATTATCATAAATTGAATGTAAAAATCATATTTTTAAAAATCGAGATTCCCGGACAAATAAAAATTTCTCCTCTACCAAACGTCCAGAGTATGTTTTAGATTCCTATGTCATTGTTGCTGCACGTTGATGGGTTGTAAATGTTGCAGTACTGGGAATAATAAAAATTATTGAAGAGAGTGGAAAGCCATAGGTTCATGAACCATCTTTGTATTCCATGAGAACCATGAAATCGCCACGCACTGCTATAAGTTCAAACACCTTTCAAAGGTGGGGTGTGGTCCACCTAGCAAGCATAATTATTTGGAAACATTGTACAACAGTTCTTTAACGAACTTATCCACTCGATTTCTTATCCTAGTTCCAAAAGATTTCGAGTCTCAGGTTATGTATCCGTCCAAAAAATCACCCTTCATCTATCCTTATCAATTAATAAGATTTTTATGTTTGGTTTTTTTTTTTTTCTTGGTGCTGTGTTGAGATATTTAGTTCTTAACAAATATACCACTATGGCATTTAAATTCCAATATTCGGCTGTTTCATGGTACAGGTTAAAGAAAAAAGATAGATTTAATTTTGATCTATTATAAGGTATACAAATTTTTTAGGCTATCATACATTTTCACGTTACTATATCAGTAAAAGAGCTTGGCACATGACTTTCTTTATATTAGATTCTTCTCACTGCCAACACCAAAAAGCGTTTGAGGGGGGAGCAAGGAATTATTCTTCCTCTAAATGTTGCTAAATTGGTTTGTGTTTATTTGGGGTAATTTAGAACAAACAAGTTATTAATAGATAATTATTATTATACTCTAACTTTAGTAAATGGTAACGGTGATTGAAAGATAATGTACAAACATCAGTTATAAAGTTTTGATATGCATATTATACAGTGAAAGTGCATGTTTTATTCAGAGTGGACACTAGCGAGATGCTAGCTCTTATTCGCTAGAAACTATAGAGTTACAAGACAATACAACAAAGCAGTAGTCACAGTACGTATTATCTTGTTTTCAGCAACGACCATAACTCTTCTAAGGCAGAGTGTAAGCTGCAAAAATTACGATTTTATATGAGGAATTAACAGTGTTAGATCAAGAAAACTGATAAACAAAAGAAATGTTAGTAACATTTTTTTAACACTCTTATACTGAGTGAAGTGACATACTGACTCCAAAAACTTAACTTCACTCTATTAGAGGAGTCAATATGAGATTTCACTCTAACAGCAAAGAAAGTGTTACCAACAAAATGTCAAAAGTTGTGTTGATATCAAATTTTATAAAAGAAAAGGGAGAATTATACTTACGTCCACACTTGTAACCAACAGGGCGATTTGCAAAGTTGCAACGCTTGGGGATGGTTATGGCAATTTGAGGGTTGACTCCAGACATTTTGGCTGTGTCAGAGAGCAGAACTGCACAGAGGCAACTTGGGTTCTGCGCAAATTTCTTGACCTGAGCACAGCAACTTTGAGAAACACTAGCCTTTTCATCTTGTGCTGCAGTGGCACAAGGAACAAGCTTTATAGCTTCATTATCTGGGGTGGTATTCTTCCCACATTCACCAGCACCCTCAACTCTATGAATCATTGCAATGCTAACAAGGAATACAAATCCAAGAAGGCATAGGAACTTGATAGGACCCTCCATTTCTTAATATATGTTTTTTTTTTTTCAATCAATGAAACTGCTTCTCTATCTCACAATGCAACAATCACATGCCTCTAATGGGGTTTTATAGCCTAACATGTTGTGAAAAAAAAAAAGTGCTTGGTCCAGTCACCCACCTAAGATTAATGGAGCTTGCACTAGAACAAATGGGTGAGTTTTGTATTGCACCACTTTGCAACACTTAGCTGGTGTAAACATAATTTGGTTCCTTCCCTTGTCCTATCAAGGTAGGTGAATCTTTGTTAAGACAATTTTTTTTAGTTTTTCGTACTTCCAGATGTAGCCATTACTAACAGTTTGCAAATAAAGAGAGCATGTTATGCTGCCACCTCATCCTCAATCAAGTGAAGCACCAATCCCCTTTTCGAAAGCTTGTGATCAACTTTTAAGCCAACTACCACCGCCCTTCAACACACTAGCTAACACTCACACACTCCACCTTCATGCCCCATGCTGAAGTATTTATTCAGTAACATAACAAATTTCATCCCTTCATCAAAATGCACATTCAGCCTATAAAGTCATCATCATATGTAATGGGAAAAATAATTGTTATTTTAAAAGATATAATTTTATATTATATTTTAAGTGAAACTAATATGTTTTGGTGAGTTTTTATCTTCTCTCTTCTACAATATTCTCTTTTTATCTCTCCTCCTGATTTTGTCCCACCAAAACATTATATTTCAATTAAATTGACACAAAGTTGCATTTTTTAATATGATAAAACAATTTTCCCTATATTTATTGCTTAAAAGTATTATAAAATAATTCAAACTTTCATGTTGATTGTAACTGAAACTCACTGATACTAAACACAAATATTATGTTTAATTTGAATTTAAAATGTCAATTAATATTTCTATTTAACGTTTTTATAATAATGAAACATTTTAAAATAATCCTCGTTTTGTATGTTCACTGAAATATTCTTAGAAGAGTGATACTATTTTATTTAAAATTCGATAAAACAAGATTGCATAAATTGGGCATTTGGTCTAGTGGTATGATTCTCGCTTAGGGTGCGAGAGGTCCCGAGTTCAATTCTCGGAATGCCCCAAATGTAGCGTATTTTATTTTTCAGTTTTCTTACCACTTGCTCTCTAGCCATTTCGTACGAAACAGGCATTTGAGGTAATCTTCCTTTCTCACAAAATTTCTAATCTGCAAAGATAATTCAACTTCCACTTTATTTTATTTTATTTTGTGTATCCTTCACAGTCGTCTAGTGAAGTTGAGTAAGTGAGAATTGGCATATAAAAAGCCCCGAGACACTTCATCATTACCACAAACAATGTTATTAATCTCACACCTCACACCGGTCATTAAGTCAGCAATGTATACCATTATAAGCCATTGGCTTAATGGTAAACACAATATCTTCTTCCTATAATGTGAAAGGTTTGAGCCCCAAGTCTGTATTTTTGTAAATATTTTACAATAGTATTCAATAATCGGGTTGCCAGACCAACCGGTCCGATTTTGAGAATATTGACTACAAGCAAATAATATAAAATACTATCAAAAAGAAAAAAAAATACACTATCAACTCTAGAATAATATACTTAATTTTTAATTGTTTACCACTTGCTATGCCAGCCATGTAATTCCTAATTTCCACTTGCATTTGGGGAAATCTTCTTTTCCCTCAAAATTTCAATTCTTAAGGGAGTGTTTGATAGATAGTTTATTTTCAAATTCCCTAAAAAGTGAGAGTAGTAATCCAATTTATCCATGTTTAATAGAAGATTTCTAAAAAAATTTGCGGAATACAATTTTCTCAAGATTTTTTTTCAGTCTGTATACAATGTAAACCAAAGGGTGATATTCTCACTTTCCTGACAAAATAAAAAGTTAGATACAAAATTTCTGACAAAAACCCTGATAATATTTTAACCTACCAAATGACTTTTTGGTAATATTCTCGAAAAATTTTATTTTTTCACCATATTTCCAGAAATCGTAATTCTCGAATAAAAAATAAATTTTTCCTCTACTGTACCCCTCCTAAAAGGATAATTTAACTTCAGCTTTTTATTTGAGTATCCTTCAATTAATGGTTTAGTGAAGTTGAGTTAGAGAATTGGCATATAGAAAATCCTTATTACAGGCAACTCATTACCACCACAAGTAAATGAATGGTTTAGCAAGAATTGGCATACAAAAAACCCCTATTAGAGGCACCTCATTAAAGTAAATGATGTAAAATACTATCCACTCTAAATATTTGAAACCTTCTGCGTATGTAATATACATATGAAGACTCAACAAAAGGAAAACGAAAAAGAAAAAAGAAAAGTCAGTTGACAAATGTCTCAGCTATAAAAGATCAATAGCCTTTCACACTTGCCATGCCTGGTCCATGATATTTGGGCTGACAGCTTCTTCTGTGAAGTCACTGGAGTCCACATCTGTTTCAAATGCTGGCACTTCATCAAGTGTTTTTGATTGTGGAACTTGTTTCTCAATTGGACTGCTATAGGCCTTCCCTTTTGTATCAATGCTAAGAAAATCAGTCAAAGCTTTCTTCACCCCTGCCCCTCTTTGGGGAAGGTTGCTGCTATTGATGAGTGGGGATTTTCCTCCCTTTGCAGGGCTAATCCCATGTGCAGGAGAAAGGTTTGGTGTCCCAAAAGCTGATTTATATGGAGTGCTAGGGACAGGCACTGAATATGGAACTGAAACACTCTTGTGAGTAACTACACCAACTCTTGGGAGAGATGAGAATTGGTCAGAATGTTTGGTCAAGTCATCTACATAGAGAACATCATCAATCCGCGCTACCATGTTAAATGCCAAACTCTCTAGTACTCTAGAGTAGCTCTCCAGAATGGCTTTCCCAACATCCTAGACAAGAGAAAATTTGAAGGGCTAAGATCAAACTTGTTAATATTCAAGAAGCAAAAGATTTATTTTTGAGTTTAAAGTTTGAACATAATAAAACTCGAACCTTGTTGTATTGGATTTTGCTCATATCCAAGGCTGTTTGAGGGAGACCAGGAAAACGGTGCTTCAAGGAAAGCAGAAGGCTTTCTGCTCTCTCTGCAAGCAATTCCCTTTTGTCTCCATCAACCATCATATCCTTGACCATTTCCCATGATGATCTTGAGCTAGATCTGGCACTGATACTTGATGGCTTTGAATTGGTCTTTTTACGCCAAATATACATGGAAGCCTCGGCTCGGTTCGCAATCTCTATAGCTTGATGTTCAGAAGATAAATCAAGGCAAGCTAGCAAACACTCAGGAGAAAAATGATCTGATGTGATATAACGATAAATAACATCCCCCAAGCTCACTCTAGCATTCTGAAAGAAAGTTGGATTAGCAATTTGACCATTATATCTTTTGCTCTATGTTTAAAATTTTTTAATAGATAGGGATCATTCATACCTTTTGAAGAGATTCCAAATAAGACTCAGGAATGTCCATTTCAGCTAAAGTAATACTGTTAATGGCCATTGCAGCTTTTAATATTTGGTTTGTGCAATCACGCTTATGCTGCAACTGCTTCCTTGAATTTTCATGGAGGCCACACGGAGGGACTCGGGGTACAGGAAGCCACCATTTTTCCTCTTGGCGCTGAAGTGCTTGTCGAAAAGAAGATGGACCATCAGCATCTGTGGCCAGAACCCCTTGGTCTACATACCAGAACTCTGTATTGACAAAACTGTCAAGAATTTCCTGAGAAAAGAACAAAATTTAGAATGGCCTACTTCTTGAAACTTGACTAATGGTGTACACTCAGTGCTGAAAATCTTACAAGAAGCATGTTATCTAATTTACGCAGAGCTGGAAGGTTGACATAGAGATCTGAGCGCGGTCTACAAGTCATGACCTGATTCACATTTCAAAATCATTGTTAATCATCAACAAACTATCTGTTCATCCCCCTATTCTGTAGCAATGCTAACCAAGAAAGAAAGCAGAAAGCATTGAGGAAATAAAATATTAGATTTTTTCTTTCACATCACACAAAAGTCCTTCACTTGAATGGTGACATGAAATACACAGTCAAATGAAGGATCAGTACTAAATGCATTCCAAAGATCTGGTTATAGGCTTATAGCATATAAATCAATAAAGCAAACTTCTGTAACAAGACTAACCTATTAACCTAAAGTATGCATTCAACACATTTCAAGCACAAGTAAATGTAACCATAAGACACTTCAAAATTAATCGATGTCAATTAACTTGACCAAGTCGCATCACACTGAGTCATTTTGCATTACATCTAGCAGCATAAATTACTACAAAGATTTCACATTCAATTTACAATCATTAAGTTTATGATTTACATACAGCTGACAGTACAATTTCAATTTTATCATGGCGGGACATTCAGTCAAGCACAAACTATTTGAGAGAGAAAAGGGGGAATATTTTTCTGTAAGTCATGCCTTTCAAATGCCAAAAAAGAGTTATGTCAAGGTTGACAGGGCAAAACAAACACATATTCTTAACCAAAAAGTGCATCAAACAGCTACATAAGCCCACATTAAAATTATTTCTACAGTTGTACCTCAAGCTTGCTTCCATCCGGAAAAGTCTGCCAATTAGGTACCAATTCAACTATATGATCACTGACAGAAAGAAGCCACTCCATCTCTCTTCGCCACATTGCTTTCTTCTCTGTACGCATAGGCTCTAATCTCCAAAGTTGCCCGAAGATGGTAGCTACATATTCAGCAAAGGGATGAGCAATAACCATCAAAGGCAAGAATTGCAGTCATTAAAATTCACCACAACCAACTTGCATCAATTAATAAACACAAAAACCAAATAAGAACAAAGAAACTGCTTCTAGTGCATACCACATAGATTAGTTATGGCGTTTGAGACAGCCAAGGCTGTAGGGACCCCATTTCCACAACCTGACATATCTTCTCCAAGTAGCAATTTTGCAAACCTCTCCTTCATCATCTCAATCTCTACCAATGGGAATCAAAATCAAATCACAAGAACATATCAGGCTGATATCATCAGTGAGAATAATTCACAGTAGAAATTAGAAAGGAGATTGTGTGCATAAAACACACATTGAATACCTGGTAATGCTGAAACTTGTTTCTCAAATTCCTTATTCTTTAAGTGCTTTTTCTCACCATCTTCACTTCCATGAGGACTGGTACAATCTGATGCAACAATTTCCTGTACCGGCCATCCCATTGAAGGTGATGAAGATGAGTCTTCAGTGCTACTCTGACTATGTTCTTCATGACCAGTAGTGGTCTCAGATGACAAAAACTCAGAACTGAAACTGCTCTCACGACCCTTTTCTTCAATCAAATCAGCAAAAGTTTCTTTTTTACCACCATTTTCAGTTCCCTTATTTTCTTCAACAACTTCATTCTTCTCAGCCAAACTCAAACTCAAACTCAAACTCTCCATAGCAGCAGCTTTCCCTTCTTGAAGAAAACCAGATGAAGCACAGAAAACGGAGTTGTTAATCACCATGCCATGACATTGAATCCTTCTCAAGCAAAACCCTTGTGAAAGTTGAACTCTGAAACACAAACTTCGAAGAGATTTAGACACCCAGAACACTAGAATGGAAAATGGGTTCAGATTAGTAGAAGACCTTCTAAGCCTCACCAAAGGGGCACAATGCTTCAGTTGCTGATGCTGTTGTTGTTGGGTTTGTTCTCTTACTTCTTGTTGGGTGAAAGTACAATCCATAAGTTGTTAAACCATGTCTGGTAGTGAAAGGGCAGAGAGTGTGGTGCACAATTTGTGGGCTACCTCGTATTGCTTACTTATATGTCAAGGGTGAAGCTTGTCATGATTTTTCAAGTTTTGCTACAAGCACATGATGTGAGAGAGAGTGAGAGAGAGAGAGAAAAAACAATTTAATTTCCAAAATCTTATGATGAAGTCTAAATATAAAGTTTAAATTTTAAATCAAATCGTATGAATTCAAATCGTAAAGAAACTTGGGATACACCATCCAAAAGCTAGCTCAAAGGATGTGAGTGTCCAAAGTCTTATAAAGGTCACATTAGTTGCATACACAATCAAATATGGACTATATATCTCAACATGCCCCCTCACACGAGAGCCCACTGGGTTTGAAGAGTGTACAATGCACAGACCCAACTACTTATGCGAACAAAGAAATTTCACTTAAAGAAAGTGGAGACGACGAGAGGATCGAACTCAGGACACGAGGCTCTGATACCATGTAAAGAATCTTGGAATACACCTCTCCAAAAGATAGCTCAAAGGGTGAGAGTGTCCAAGGTCTTATAAAGACCACATTAGTTGCACACACAATCAATGTGAGACTATATATCTCAACCCAATAAAAAAAAAATCAATCTTGATTTATTCACACGCGATTCTCTTTTCATGCATGCACAATTTCATACTTGTTACAAGTTATCAAACAGTAAAATGTTAATATTTCTATTTTGAGTCCAACATAAACAGAAAAGTAGGTTGGTTCGGGGAAAATCTAATTGGTTTTTAAAATAGTTCTGCTCTTGAATCGGTTCAAAGAAAATGATTTGTTCAAAAACAAATGTAGAATAGTTTGGTTAGGTTTGTATTTTGATTCAATTCCTTTAATTTTTTCACACTCTAAAGAAAGGGTATAGTGCTACTCATTTAATTTTTAAGTCAATCTGAGCTAAATTGATAAAGTGGTTCGATTTGATTCTTGAATGAAAATGGTTTATTTCTTTTGAAAAAAAAAATATGTTTTTTTAATACTCTTCGAATTAGTTCTTAGTTCCAATATTTTTTTTCACAATCCTGTATGTACATATTTCGGTGCTTGCAAACCTGCCTCTCACACAGATTAATTCCTTATTTAAATTAGGTGTATGATTCAAATTTGAAATTATTCAAATTCTTTTTTGGTAGTCTTTATGACAGATAACAAAGGGAATAACGTTTGTTACAAAAAAAAGAAAAAGGGAATAACGTAAAACAAGTTTGAAATCGGGATATAATTTAACGTAAGGACTGAATTTCCAATCACAAACATTTTAACAGACCATAAAGTTAGTTTAATCTTCAACATTTTCTACGCTTTTGCTTAAAGTTAAGTATCCAAAATCAAAAGTTATTAATTAATATCAATTTTTTTTTTTTTTTTTGAAAATTATAATAAAGAATGTCATGGGAAATCGTGTAAGCGACGGATCTGGCTATGATGTCTACCAAATTTGTGCTTCATTATATTCTTAACTAGTTAAGTAATACATTAATTATTGTAGAATTCAAGTCTAGTTGATTAGTCACCCTCATTTTTGAAATTATTAATTACTATTGCAGATTAGTGTAATGTCTTAGCTTTATTATGCCTCCGCTCCAATATGTCCTTCATTCAATAAATTGTGTCCAGAAATCATACTTTCGGATACTAGTCTCAGTCATAAAAGGCTATTCAGTGAAATTGTAAATGTGCCAAGAGAAATTGGATTTATCATAAAGCAGAGTTAAAAATAAAAGAGGAGGATAGGTTTTTTTGACCCTTTTGTCCCTTATTAATTAATTAATAATTATTTTGTCCCCGATTCGAAACTATTTATCAATCTGCCCCTCTTTAGTCGACTACCTTGCATTTTTAATCGACTAAATGACCAAAACAGACAAAAAATGGCTGCTGAGAGATTTAGTCGACTAAATCTCCCTATTTAGTCGACTAAATCTTCATATTTGACAAAAAAAAAAAAAGTCAGTATGATTTTAATCGATTAAGTAGGGAGATTTAGTCGATTAAATCTCCCAACAACCGTTTAGTCAATTAAAAATGCAAGGTAGTCGATTAAAGAGGAACAGATTGATAGATAGTTTCGAATCAGGGACAAAATAGTTATTAATTAATTAATAAGGAGCAAAAAGGTAAAAAAAGCAGGATTTGAAATTGGTTGGCTCTTTGAATGCAGTGTTAAGTAATAGCAAAGGATAACCTTTTAAAGGGATGTTTCTGTCCATAAGTGCCTCACATACCCCAAGGATTAGAAAGTCATTTAGTAAAAGGATTTTGGGTAATACCGGCAAAGAAATGTTTTAGGGTTCCAAAAGGAATATTATCAAACTGCCAAGATGGTGCATTGGGAACTATGCTTAGGACTTTCGAGGTGTGGATGTAGTTTGGTAATTTCAAGATATAGCGGTAGTATTATTTTGTATTTTTCTCCCTTTTATCTTCTTATACTTTCTTAATGGTGGAGTCTTTTTTTTTTTTTTCATTGACGTTGCGGCACAAATGATCAATATTTTAAGGAGTTTATTAATTTCTATCAATAAGGAGAGAAGATATCTCCTATTGTAAAAAACCTTGAGATACACCATCCCAAAAGCTAGCTCAAAGGGTGAGAGTGCTCAAGGCCTTATAAAGGTCACATTAATTGCCCACACAATCAATGTGAGACTATATATCTCAACACGCCCTCTCACGCAAGAGCCCTTTGGACTAGAAGCGTGGAACTGCACAGGCCCAATTTTTGGTTTACCTTTTTGTGCTTTTTATTTTAATTCCACTTTATAGTAGGAGGCGGTGAGGATCGAACTTGTGACCTTGTAATCACTCAAGCTCTGATACCATGTAAAGAACCTTGAGATACACCACCCCAAAAGCTAGCTCAAAGGGTGGGAGTGCCCAAGGCCTTATAAAGGTCACATTAGTTGCCCACACAATCAATGTGAGACTATATATCTCAACACCTATTACTCTCACAATCATGTAATGAGACTCACGTAATTATAAAATAAAAATGAAAAAAAAGAAAGCTCAAATAACGATGTCTGTGTTGAAAATTAAACCGATCTCCTATAGCTGAAGACTAATTTTTCCCGTATATTAATAAATGATAGCAGTTTAGTTGGCATTATGAAATTGAGCAGATAGAATTGAAAGTATACGTTCGATTCTTCCAACTATTATTTTTGAGAGATTTAAAATCTTAATCATGAGATCCATCTCGAATCGGACTAGTCACGAAATAATGAATCGATTAAAATAATATTTAAAAAAATGACCAATATTTAACCGTAATATGGACATAATTGAGATTAGGAGAAGAACGCTATGGTCTATGACCAATATTTTGGGCTTCTATAGAATATTGGTGGAAAAATCAATCAAATCATACAAACACACGTGAGAGCACATACATAATTGAGAAAAATCTATTTACAAAAAAAAAAAATTGAGAAAAATCACTTGTAAATCCAAGTGAAAAGGACATTAGTTTAAGTGAGTTGCGGTTGAGATATGATCAAATCAAAGCAATACAAATCATAATTATATTCTTCAATAACATAATTTCTTACTTTCCTTGCAAGTTTTTTCCTAGAATCAGAACTAACATAATTTTCTCTTTCGCTCATGATGCCGGTTGTTCCAACAGAATTTGCAAAGGGAAAAAGATAACAACTAAGTTGTTGGGGACCGAAAATTTGAAAACCATGAGAGGGAACAAGAAAACTTAAGCCTCAAGGTTTTTCTTGTTAGCATTAAAAGCAAAGCTAACCTTATAATAACTTTCTTGCTTTTCCCTTTTGTTGATATTTCTTCTTTAGTTTACTAGTTCTCAAAGTCATACGTTTAGCATGTTCCTTTTTTTTTTTTTAATTTGAACCCGCTCCAATTCAAGTTTTGAATGTAGAGTTTTAAAAGGGGTGCTGATTTTACCCAGGAATTTGCCTTTGGTTCTATTAAATGCGTAAGTTGGCCAGTTTATTGACAGAATGGCGTGAAACATACGAATAAAGACCCAATGGCTGTTTACCAAAAAAAAATAAAAGACCCAATGGCTATTCATATAAAGTATTTTGAAATTTGAATATGAAAGTAAAAGTGGTATGGAGCTCTCAGAATTTTGTACTAAATTCGCAATAGTATCTCCTTTTGTTACAGGTGTGAATTCCCTGCATAAATAAACATGCAGATGATAAAGATTCTTTCTTTTCTTTCTTTCTTTCTTTCCTTTTTTTGGTCTATAATGTAGCTGATATTGCTTGTTAGGGTTGCTATCGTCATAATTTTGCTGCTAACACTTAATGCTATTCAATATGTGGGTATGTTCATGATTAATGATGTTTTCTTTATATAATGTGTTATTTATATTACTCGCATAATTTTTATTTTTTTTGTGGGGTGGGGATAGGATGGGATACAATTCACTTGGTTTAATTCAAAGGTTAGATCATCCATGTTATGATAAAACAA